GAGGCTAGTTTACCATGAGACACCCTGCCAGGTGCTAACACCCCTTATAACATAGCCCCCAAAATCACAGGGGGTGCTCAAACCATTTTACCACATTAAGGTGGAGATTCTGCCAGGTTTGAAAGTAGATAAGTACGGGACAAAAGAATAATTGTGAGGATTACCATCTACGGCAGATGATGAATATTTGAAAGTGATGTTTTTAAAAATCCAGCAAAGACCCAGAGTGATGCTTCATCTTTTATTTAATCATCAACTGGATGCCAAGTTTCCAGCTAACAGCTCTTTGGGAACCACTCTGTTGGTGTTAAAATACTGTTATATGTGTCAAACTGTGCTGTGTTTGGTGTTTTTTTTAATGGATTCAACTAAAGAAATGGGAACAAATGGTGTTTTTATGACAGGCTCCTGAAAGATCCCAGTTAGTATCCGATTATTGTTAAGCTGCCCGTCATGTGTCGTTACAACACTGGTTCATAATTTGAGTTTTGGAGCCTTTTTATGTCTGAATTAATTCTATGTTGAAGCGACACAGCTAAACAAAGAAACAGTTTTCTGAAAGTAATTGACTACTTCACTGAAAATGAGTGAAAAAGCAGCCAAGACCTTCAGGAGAACTAGTGATTAAGACCACTTTAAAAAGAGAACAAAACATCTGGCTGCTTGGAAGGAAAATCTAAAAAAAAAAAGGGAAAAAAAACGAGGAATGATCAAGACTTTTGCACAGTACAGTAATTTAATTTCTATACTCAGATACACAGGATGTTGTGTCTTTTTACAGTGGTTTTATGTGTTTGATTGTAGTATTTTCTGTTCTAGGTGACCTTCTTCAACCCCGTTATAGAAAGAGGTCGAAGACTCCAGAGGCAGAGGAAAGTTTTCTCTAAACAACATGGTACGTTCCTGTGAACACACCTCAATCCAACATGTATACAAAGAATGCAAATATAAACTCTGAGCAGCAATCAGATGTTTTTACCTAAACTGGTAAAAGTACACCAGATATCAGTGAAGAATCCTCCCAGGCTCAGCTTAGTTTAGATTAACAGGTGAACCACAAACTGAGGCCTTGAATGTGTATCAGTGCTGAGGTGAAGGTGAAATGAAATATGAGGGGGATTGTGTAATATTAGTTACCATGCRTAGTTTATGATGTCATCAGTGCCACCGCCAGCAGCTGTTAACAGCTGTAGGACTAAGAACACAGCTACGGTTGCAATGTTTACCAACGAAAATAGAAGCCTGTATTGCCCCATAACTGTAAATAAATGTTTTAAAAAAAGACTGAGAAGAAGTCACTAAAAATCTTTAAAATTTCCATTTAAAATAGTCGGAATAGTTGAAAAACACATGGAATAAAACACACCAAGTCCTGATGCAGCTCAATAATCCAGGTAGAAAAATCTAAAAAGGGTTGAGGAGGTCYTCTGGACGTGTTGTTCTTTGATGGAAAGAGACTTCTTTATTCTGAGGCAGKGGTCTGAAACCTGTGGCTCTGGGGCCTTTTGTAGCYCTTTGGTCCCTCTGCAGTGGCTCTTTGAAGCTTTAGGCAAAACTAACATAAGAATACATTTTTTGTTTTTATACTCACAACAGGACATACTAGCTTTAGCAGTTTTCCTGTCAATTTGTTTGCAAAATGTGATACAAAGGGTGAAACATGTTAATTAGATCATGCTAGTAGCCTGTTAGCCACTTCAGTAATTCAACTTCCAGCTGCAAACTACGATCTTTCTCTCAAATCCATCAGGGTAACTTTTAACGATCTAATAAACTAGACTAAATAAGAATAAGAAATAAATATAAGCCTGCATAGTTCAATTATAGTTTTTA